CAGCCCGCCCGCCCCGCCTCCGCGCGGCCTGCCCGCCCCGCTGCCTGTCAGTCACGCGCCGGGTCCCCGCCCGCCGCCTGCAGGCTAAGACGACGCGCCCGGGCACTCGTCCGCGCCTACCTCTGGCATCACCCGGATCGGGGAGGGGGTTGGGGGACGGCGGGCAGCTTTGCTCCAGCTCCCACCCCAGACCGCGCTGGGTCCCGGGCGGCGCGCCAGGAGGGATCGCTTGGGGCTGGCCCAGATCCGTAAACCCGGGGCGGGGGCGGGGGCGGGGGTGCGGTGCTCGGCTGCTCACCCTCCGGCCTCAGAGCTCAGGGGAGAGCGGGACGGGGAATATGAAAGGAAAATTCGCGAGGGGAACCGGGTCAGGCGCCCCCGGGAGTGGGCAAGCCTAGGGCCTCCGCACCGCGGCCGCTGGATCGGATCTGGGCCCCTGCTCAACCTCCTGGGACCCCACCCACTGCCTGCAGCAGGACGGTCCTGGTACCCCTTCGCGGCGCCCTCTGCAGGCCTCTCCCCGCGCACGCGGCCCCTTCTCTGCTCAGTAATAATTGGGCACTGCTACTGACCGCCGACTCTGTGCCAACGGCTAAGCGCTCCACACCTATTAACTTATTCTCTCTCAAAAGACCCTCATGACATAGATGCTAGTATTTTCTTTTTAGAAACAAAGAAACTGGGGGGCAGAAAGGTTCAGCATGGTCCAGGGTCCCATTTAGCAAGGGGCAAAAATAGGATTTGAACCCAGGCCTTCTTGCTGCAGGGCCACCTCTGTTGGGCTGACAGCTAAGATGCCACTTCCTCCAGGCAGCCCCCCAGCCCCCTCCAGCTGAGTCAGGGTCCTCAGGGTTGCCTCTCTGTCTGGTCCGGAGCGGCAGCACCTATGGGGGCCTGTGACACAGTGGGTGTGAAATAAGCATTGTTCTGGAAGGATAGGCCAACACAGGCCACCTGGTGAAGTTGGGCTGGAGAAGTGGGCTCTCCTGGCTGAGGTCATGTGGCCAGAAGGGCAACATCACAAGACAGGTGATGGCTCAGGACCAGTGAGGATGGCATGATATCACCAGGCAGGCATGGTGACATCATAGGACAAAGTGATATCAAGGGTCTTAAAAGCTTGCAAGCAGCCATCTAAGATGCATCAATTGGTCCCAACCACCTGGAGCAAAGGAGAATGAAGAACACCACAGACACAAGGAAAGTATTAGCCCAAGAGACAGAAAGGGTCACATAAACCAGAGACTTCATCAGCCTGAGACCAGAAGAACTAGATGGTGCCCGGCTACCACCAATGACCGCCCTGACAGG